GGGAAGAGACAGAATGTTCCAGCTCCAAACTCAGCACGCCTCCCCAAAAATCCTCCATGGAAGATCGGGAAGCAAACAGCTCCTATCTCAAGGGAAAACTAACTCAGCCACCTCTTCCGACTGATCAGGATGGGGATCAGGCCCTCAGACCCGGAGGCTTCCCTCCTACAGAAGGGAAGGCTCAGGGACTAGCAAACAAGCAAAGAAGGATAGTGGGCCATCAAGGTAATTTTGACTTAGGGTGACTCTTTTCAGGGTTTTCTAGGTAGAGAGTACTCAGAGGTAGTTTCTTATTCTCCACTTCTTGGGAGTATCCCGGAACTGGCCAGCTTGCCCAAGGCAACACAGGCTGGCCCTTCTCTCGGGAGACCCAGTGGGGATTTGAACTCAGAGTCTAGGGACTTTGCAGCTTGCCCAAGGCGACACAGGCTGGCCCTTCTCTCGGGAGACCCAGTGGGGATTTGAACTCAGAGTCTAGGGACTTTGCAGCTTGCCCAAGGCGACACAGGCTGGCCCTTCTCTCGGGAGACCCAGTGGGGATTTGAACTCAGAGTCTAGGGACTTTGCAGCTTGCCCAAGGCGACACAGGCTGGCCCTTCTCTCGGGAGACCCAGTGGGGATTTGAACTCAGAGTCTAGGGACTTTGCAGCTTGCCCAAGGCGACACAGGCTGGCCCTTCTCTCGGGAGACCCAGTGGGGATTTGAACTCAGAGTCTAGGGACTTTGCAGCTTGCCCAAGGCGACACAGGCTGGCCCTTCTCTCGGGAGACCCAATGGGGATTTGAACTCGGATTCTTGGGACTTTGCAGCTTGCCCAAGGCGACACAGGCTGGCCCTTCTCTCGGGATACCCAGTGGGGATTTGAACTCAGAGTCTTGGGACTTTGCAGCTTCCCCAAGGCGACACAGGCTGGTCCTTCTCTCGGGAGACCCAATGGGGATTTGAACTCGGATTCTTGGGACTTTGCAGCTTTCCCAAGGTGACACAGGCTGGCCCTTCTCTCGGGAGACCCAGTGGGGATTTGAACTCAGAGTCTTGGGACTTTGCAGCTTGCCCAAGGCGACACAGGCTGGCCCTTCTCTCGGGAGACCCAATGGGGGTTTGAACTCGGAGTCTTGGGACTTTGCAGCTTTCCCAAGGCAACACAGGCTGGCCCTTCTCTCGGGAGACCCAGTGGGGATTTGAACTCAGAGTCTTGGGACTTTGCAGCTTGCCCAAGGCTACACAGGCTGGCCCTTCTCTCGGGAGACCCAGTGGGGATTTGAACTCAGAGTCTAGGGACTTTGCAGCTTGCCCAAGGTGACACAGGCTGGCCCTTCTCTCGGGAGGCCCAGTGGGGAACCTAATTCCCGTGACCTCAGGCTCTGAATCCAGGAACCCAACTCCCTGAGTTTGATTGTAGAGGTTCTACAGAAGCGGAATGGTGGAGATGGAAGGAATCCAAAGGATCACATAAACGAAAGGGATTTGGGGAAGCAACTGGAGTTTGTATTTCCCAATTGCTGCTGTCATCAAAAGCTAGAAACACTGTTGATGCCTCAAGGAAAGTAACGTTTTCAACCATCTCCCCAAGTACATGTCGGCCCAGAGTGTATAATGTAAGCCTTCTGCTGCTTTTGCTAACAATTTACCCATGCAACAAATATTTTACGAACAGGCTCATCATTGGAAAGGGATGTAAATTTATGGGAAAGTAATGAAAACATTTTCCAGAACCAACAGAGTTCTTCCCCTATGGTTACCAACTGTGTAAAGTTCCTTATTCACTGTCTCTTAGCCAAGGACCGCATGAACATTTGCCAGGGCAGGAAGTCGGGATAAAGTTTGCAATTCATTCGGTGGTTTGAGAAATTAATGCCATTCTTCATAGAAGTATCTTATTGTGATTTTTCCATTCACTGGCTGTAAAATCTAGCAGGTTCAGAAGAGAAGGAATGCTTAGAGGAAACCTGTTTCTGACCCTTTCTTTTTCCAGGAAGTCCCTGGTTCAAATCACGCCTTTCATGAATTAACTAAGCATCGTTGGGTAGCAAACTTTCTGACTTTTAGTCTTCCCATCTGGGAAATGGGTGTATTTGTTCAGCTGAGGTACAATATTGTCATAATAGTATAATATAATAATCTAAAATCGATCTACCTTATAGGATTGTTGTATGGACTGTAAAGAACGGGCATATGGGCTTTGAACTCCCAGAAATAGAATATAAATGTGAATTAGCCACATTATTATAGTGTGTTTGCATTTATTATAGTACCTAGTGCATTTTGTAATCATCTTGAATTTTGATTGATGACAGCATTGTGGTGCCCATAAAGAAAACTACGTATTTTAACTAAAATAAGTAGCCATTGCCTTCCAAAACTAGTCACTAAGGGTATAAGTGCAAGAGAAAGCCAAAATCTGCAACTGAAGCTGAACTTCTCTTTCAAAAAAAAGGGAGAGCAGTTCTCCAATTTGCAAATGGCAGGAGGTATGAAAAACTGTGACAATCAGATGTCTTTCAGCACAGAAGGAATTCTTGCTTCTAACAGTGTGCTCTCTGTATTATCCAATTTGACCCTAGTTTGATCCAGAAGAGTTTCATCGAGGCAAATGTCCTGGTGGGCCCAAAACATCATCATATAATAATCTGCAGAGCTGGAAGAGACTCTGTAGATCATCAAACCCAGCCACTGTCAAGGAGGCACAGTTGGGGAATCGAACTCCCATCTAAGGGAACTAAATCACTGAGCAATCCAGCAGTTCCATGAACCCATACAGTTTGGGTAACTGCCCTGCTTCCTTCTTCGTTTCTTGCCACAAGATTGCGCCCTGCTCACCTGAGAACAGCTATTCCGATTTTAATACCACAGTGTTAGGTACTTTCCGTGGTTTTAAAAAATGGGGTGATATTAACTCTACTCCCAGCGTTACAAAAGCACACAAGGTTTTTCGAAGTCTGCCTGCCAAAAAAGCAGCATGAAATTACTGCTTTAATTCATGGAGTTCAGGCTGGGAGAAAAGCTTTTCAAATGAAAAATTTTAAAAGACATAATGAGTCAAATTGCACCTTTTCCCTCTCCGTCTCTCTTTCCCTCTCCTGCTTGCTTTTTCTAATAACACTTCCATTTTTTTAATTACGTGGAAGCTGGGGAGAAAGTTTTGGCTGGATATAGGAAAGGGTAATTTTCAAAATATCAGAGCTTTGGACTGCTTTGATCATCGGTCACCGGCTCAGCCCTTACCAATTTTTGACAGCCGAAGAAAGCAGAAACTGTAATTAAAGGCATGACTAACTGGGTCGCCGGCTTCCGATTTCCAAAAGTCCATGAAAATGCAACCTGGGAGCAGCAGGTGAGCCAAGAAGAATTGGGAGTGAGAAAGAAATGGAAGTAGAATCAGAATGGCATTTAGCAGATCAGTGGGTGAACATGAGCCAGATCTAGTGGGGTTTTCAGGTACAGTGGGCCTGAAATTGGAAGCTCATCATGATAGATCTAGATTTTTTTATGTGATTTTTTCAAACACAATGATTCAAATGCTGGCTGGTATTGATGACCGCTGGCTATGGGTATCGCAGGACAAGAGGGGTCGTTCGCCAAAATATTGCGTGTATATATTATTTTAATGTGCACAGACAGAGGCACTATGCCGCAGGGTGGTTTGGTAATGTACCACCATTACACAGATTCCGCTGCTTAGAAAAAATCAAGCAGACAATCTTGGGTCTCCGATAAGGGCAGTAAGTCTTGGCAAACATTTGGTCTTGTTAGAGGTAGGTAGGTAGGTAGGTAGGTAGGTAGGTAGGTAGGTAGGTAGGTAGAATAGATAGATAGATAGATAGATAGATAGATAGATAGATAGATAGATAGATAGATAGATAGATAGATAGATAGATAGATAGATAGATAGATAGATAGATAGATAGATAGATAGATAGATAGACTTGTTGTACACTAACATGGTCTCTTTTCAATGGAGGACAATTTAGAGATATTTAAAATACTATACATTCTTAGAACTGTAGAACAAAAAGGGACCCTGTGGGTCATCCAGTCCAGCCCCTTTCAAGAAGGCCCAGTGGGGGAATCGAACTCCCAGCTTCTGGCTCCACAGTTAGAGACCTAAACTACTGAGCTGTCCAGCAGTTATTCTTATTCATATGGGTGATGTTCTGGCACAGATACTAAGCTGAACTCCAACCCCAGTAGTGTCCTTTGATAGGGGACACCTTTCTATTCTTCCTTTTCAATGGTCAAAACGTGGTGCTGTAGCAGAGCTTGAGAAATAGCCAGGCACTGCCAGCAAGACAAAAACTTTTCAATCAGATTGGGACTGATTCCTCCCCTCAAAGCTAAAACGGCAAAGCCGAGATAGTCATATTTTTTGACAAAACTCGAGAAAACAAGACTCAACAACGACAGGTGAGGATGTTAGGAAAAGGAGAAGGGCAGTAGGAAAAGCAGAAGTCCTGGCATGAGATGGATTAACTCAATCATGGAAAGCACAGACGTGGGCACGGCCACAGAAAACCATCATTGCATGATTTTTCAAAGACACAGCTGGATTGGTCTGTTTCAGTCAAACAAAAGAAGAATAGTCTTTTGGCACATTTAAGGCAAAGTTGTGCTAAGATAAATCCGTAAGCTCTAAAGAAAAGTGTGCTGCTTCGGAAGTAGAATCAGAATGGCATTTAGCAGATCAGTGGGTGAACATGAGCCAGATCTAGTGGGGTTTTCAGGTACAGTGGGCCTGAAATTGGAAGCTCATCATGATAGATCTAGATTTTTTTATGTGATTTTTTCAAACACAATGAAACATGAAAATAGTTATTTTGGAAGCAAATAGTACAAATCAGGTTAAAATTTGGGTAGAAAGCACTCCGATTTATAATTTTCCTCCCTTCCCTCCTCCTTAAATGAGAACATCTCAGTTCTATGTACCGAGAAAATAAAATGTTACAGGTTTTGTCATGCTACTTCTTTACAAAGGACCGTAAAGAGAGGCATGGTTTACTTACACCGTCTCATCATCTTTGAATTCCAGCTCCCCGCAGGCATCTTCATAGTCCACGCCATTTCCTTGCGCGGTCCCTTCCACTGTCTGGTAAGGGACCATCACTGTCCCTCGGGCTCCTGAGCTTCGGATCACTTTGACCTCCAGGGTCCCTTGGCACTCACTGACCCTCAAGAGTTTATCCTGGAAGGTAAAGATGCCAGCGTGGTCATCATCCAAAATGGTGACAGTGGCCACCAAGGGCGCCACCAGCCGCCCCTTCGGGTGGTCAGCCGAGTCCGACTATAGATAGATAGATAGATAGATAGATAGATAGATAGATAGATAGATAGATAGATAGATAGATAGATAGATAGATAGATAGATAGATAGATAGATAGATAGATAGATAGATAGATAGATAGACTTGTTGTACACTAACATGGTCTCTTTTCAATGGAGGACAATTTAGAGATATTTAAAATACTATACATTCTTAGAACTGTAGAACAAAAAGGGACCCTGTGGGTCATCCAGTCCAGCCCCTTTCAAGAAGGCCCAGTGGGGGAATCGAACTCCCAGCTTCTGGCGCCACAGTTAGAGACCTAAACCACTGAGCTATCCACCAGTTATTCATATGATTGATGTTCTGGCACAGAGACTAAGCTGAACTCCAACCCCAGTGGTGTCCTTTGAGAAGGGATACCTTTCTATTCTTCCTTTTCAACGGGGGAAAAATATGACTCATTCAAAACTTGGTGCTGGAGCAGAGCTTGACAAATAGCCAGGCACTGCCAGGGAGGCAAATAATTTTAGATCAGATTGGGACTGATTCCTCCCTCAAAGGTAAAATGACAAAGCTGAGACAGTCATAATTTTGACAAAACTTGAGAAAACGAGACTCATCAATGAAAGGCGAGGATATTAGGAAAAGGAGAAGGGCAGTAGGAAAAGAGGAAGACCTGGCATGAGATGGACTAACTAAGTCATGTAAAGCACAGATGTGGGCACGGCCACAGAAAACCATCATGGCATGATTTTTCAAAGACACAGCTGGATTGGTTCGTTTCAGTCAAGCAAAAGAAGAAGAACAGTTTTGGGGTGCATTTAAGACAAAGTTGTGCTAAGACAAATCTGTAAGCTTTAAAAGAAAAGCATGCTGCTTACATAATGCCTCATAGTGCTTAAAGCACTCTCTGGGTGGTTTAGAAGTTAATTATGCAGGCTACCCATTGCACACACACCCCTGGGTACTCATTTTACCGACCTCGGAAGGATGGAAGGGTGATTGAACCTTGAGCCAGCTCCCTGGGATTGAACCCAGGTGGCGAGCAGAGTTTTGGCTGCAGTACTGCAGTTCAACCACTGTGTCACAAGGCTACGTATGTTAAAGGTACCATAAGATACTCTTTTTCCTTTGTTATCCTGCCATTGTGTGCTATAACAGAAACCCGGTCCCTGCAAAACACATCTTGCACACTGCAACATGAAAATGGTTATTTTGGAAGCAAATAGTACAAATCAGGTAAAAATTTCGGTAGAAAGCACTCTGATTTATAATTTCCCTCCTTTCCCTCCTCCTTAAATGAGAACATCTCAGTTCTATGTACCGAGAAAATAAAATGTTACAGGTTTTGTCATGCTACTTCTTTACAAAGGACCGTAAAGAGAGGCATGGTTTACTTACACCGTCTCATCATCTTTGAATTCCAGCTCCCCGCAGGCATCTTCATAGTCCACGCCATTTCCTTGCGCGGTCCCTTCCACTGTCTGGTAAGGGACCATCACTGTCCCTCGGGCTCCTGAGCTTCGGATCACTTTGACCTCCAGGGTCCCTTGGCACTCACTGACCCTCAAGAGTTTATCCTGGAAGGTAAAGATGCCAGCGTGGTCATCATCCAAAATGGTGACAGTGGCCACCAAGGGCGCCACCAGCCGCCCCTTCGGGTGGTCAGCCGAGTCCGACTCAAACATGCCCTCGGCGTCGCCCACGCGCAGGTTGAGCAGTCGGACGAAAAAATGCTCATCCTCCTCAAAAATGTCGTCATCGATGATGCCAATCTTCAGCTCCTTCTGGGTCTCTCCGGGCTTGAAGATCAGCGTCCCCTCGCTGTACTCGTAATCCGAGCCTGCCTTGGCCGAACCATCCTCCGTCTTATAATCGACGTAGAAAGTGTTGTAGGTGTCACCGCCCTGCTGGCAGGCGACGGTGAGCGTGACTGAGCCACAGTTCTCCAGGCAGTGGTACATGCAGGGATCAAAGAAGATTTTGCTGTAGTTCTCCTCCACCTCCGCCTCTGACACTTCGAGCAGGTTGGCAGACTTCCTAGAGAATTCGGAGACATGTTTCTTGAGGATGTTTCCGGCCCCGGTCATCATGCGGGTGGCCTGGATGCGGTAGAAGGCCCGGCTTTTCTGCTGGTGCAACAGGGCGTAGTAGTTAGCCATCTCCACCAGCTGTTCTAGTTCCTTGTCCGGGTGCTTCTGCTTGAGGTCTTTGAGGATCTGGATGACCTCTTTCCGGCTCTCGTCCAGCTCTTTCTCCTCCTGAGTCGTGACCGGGAGCGGAGCCACTGAAGCAGCACTCCCATCCACGAAGATGCTCTCCCGGTGGTCATTGGGCACAAAGCCACCGTCCATCTCAATGCCTTTGGGGAACTCTCCCTCAGTCCCGATGATGATCCCGCTGCGAGGGTCAGCCCGATACCTCTTGTAGACATACTTGTAGAAGAGGAGGCGCTTGTCGGCCATCCACGCAAAGACGACACAGACCGGGAAGAAGACGAGGGTCAGCAGAGCCTCCCAGACCTGCACAATGCCAGGGGAGAAGACAGCCAAGATCAGGTACAGCCAAATGTAGGCAAAGATGCTCCAGGACGCCGTGACGAAGAAGACTCTCAGGTGCTTGATCTTGCGGCACTCGCCGGGAGGGATGACATAGACGCAGACAGCAATCACCACAAACATGTTGAAGGCTGCACTGCCCACAATGGTGCCAGGGCCGAGTTCGCCTGCTTGGAAGTTGTGTCCGCACACTTCAATGACCGAGAGCATGATTTCCGGCGCCGAGGAGCCCAAGGCCATGAGGGTGAGATTGGAGACGGTCTCATTCCAGATCCTTACGGTGCCGATGCTGGTCTCGCCGTTGGATTTGGTGATTGTGATCTCCTTCTCTTTGGACGTGATCACCTCGATGGAGGCCATGAAGCGGTCAGCAATGATGGAGACCCCCAGAAACATATACATCATGGCCACAAAGTAGACAATGGCTCTGGCAGCCTTGTCCCCGAAGGAAGGGTTGTCCGGCTGCCAAACGGGAAGGAGCACCCCCGGTTGACACTTGGTGGACCCTCCGCAGGTATGGTTGGCCTCTGGTTCGGGCTCGTAGGCTCCAACCTGGGAGGCATTTTCGGCCAAGAGGAGCGAAGCCACCAAGACATTGACGAGAGACCATGAGGACAGTGACCACTCGTGGCGTGATCGCCACATCCTCTTCGAGCAACTGAGGTCTACAGGGTCTGATCAGGAAGAAAAGAAAAAGGGAAACCATGTAAGTGCTTCCAAGCGGTACTGACAGCGTGTGATAGCATGAAATTCAAGCGGGGAAAACTTTTCAAGCATGGCTGGAAGAGTTACCTTTTTTTGGACTACCATTTCCAGAATCACCCAGCCAGCCTGCCTACTGACTAGAAGATTTATAGTCAAGTTGGAAGGGACCCTGTGGGTCATTTCGTTTGACCCCCTGCTGATGCAGAGAAGCCTTAGCTAAACCATGGCCAACACTAAAGGAATGAGGCATCAAATATCCCTTTAAAAAGCCTCCAGCAAAGGAGATGATTGATTCCCCTGTTGAATAGCTCTCACTCAAGAACAGAACACAAGGGATTTTTCTGGGAAAGGGGACAAGGTCACATCATGGTCACTCATCAACATTTGTGGTACAGCACATTCCACCGCAAGACAGGGTATGTGTCTTATTGTTGTTATTCATTAAGTCATGTCCGACTCTTCATGACCCTGTGGACCAGAGCACACCAGGCCCTCCACTCTTCCACTGCCTCCCAGAGTTTGGTCAAAGTCATGTTGGTAGCTTTGATGACACTGTCCACCCATCTCCTCCTCTATGTCTATGTACACTCAAATAATAACTAAACAAATTTGGGATCTGGAAGTAGGATTCAAGAACTCCTTTGCTCCATTCTGCAGGTTCCCCTGCTCTTCTGATCAGGATGTCATAGACTTTCCCCCCACAAAATCGTTTCCAAACTCCAATCCAGGGAAAATGAGAAAGAAAGAAAGAAAGAAAGAAAGAAAGAAAGAAAGAAAGAAAGAAAGAAAGAAAGAAAGAAAGAAAGAAAGAAAGAAAGAAAGAAAGAAAGAAAGAAAGAAAGAAATCAGCAATTGGCCAAAGGTGGAGATTCACATACTGTACATGACATTTCAAATGCATTCTTTACAACATTTGAAACCAAATTATCTAATGGTATAAAAGTACCACGAAAAACTTGTTTGTTGTGAAGCTGTAGTGTTTCTGATGTGGGAAGGGGGTGGATGTTTAACAAAGCTGCCCTCCTTACAAACTTCCCCATGCTTAGAAAGTTGGTGTGTCAAGGAAGCTAGCTTTTTCATGCTGGCTTTCTCTTTGCGAGGTGCTTGAATTTTCAATGGGAGGAGAACACACGCCACAAAGCCCAGGACCAGACATGAGCTTCACGCTTCTGCTTAATCTCTCCGTGACATTGGCCCTACCGGATGGATTTGACCACAACTCCCATCATGCTGATTGGGGATGACTGTGGTTGTATTCACCACCAACCCATAGGAATGGCACAGGGCTGGAGAAAACTATCCTAACTCTATTAGCAGGCTACTTGGAACCCTAGGCAGGGGAGGGGAATGCTTCAGCAAAGAGGTTTTTAAGGCAAATGTTTGCGAACGTGTTGGGATCAGATCAGAGGCCATTCTCTTCTCAAGCAAACAAGAGGGGATAAAAAAGGTCAGTCAAAAAAGAAAGAAAGAAAAGCAAACACAAAGGAGCGTGCTGGCTGTCTGTTAGATCCTCGACACAGTCTAAGCCTCTCTTTTTATCAAGGGAACATGCATTTTTAAAATTACAAATTCTTTGTCCTTCGTACAGAGCCGAATTTTGTAGGCTTACGAATTCCGATGGTGGAGAGAGAGGGCTCTTCGGGCGGAGGACTGGTTTCTCTAAAAGAGGGCACCCAGTCACCCAATGTCTCCCCCTTTTGCACAGGGAAGCTGGCAATCTGCATCCTCCCCCACCCCCGTGACATTTCAGGCGTGTTGTTTAGAAGTGGAAGGTGGTGAACCTGGCCACTTTGATTGGGAAAGAAGCTTGAAAAGAGGACTGATCCAGGATTCCAGACTCCCACACCTCCCAGGAGCCCAGAAGGTCCTCCCCGGTGCAATGGGGAGCCATAGGACGTGGTGGGATGCAGGCAATTTGACATCCTCTATTGCACGCTTGCTACCCTCCTTTTCTGCAGCATCAACACTTGTTTTCCCAGCTCATAGCGTGGCCGCGTGCCCCCTTTTGCAGAGCGTGGTCCTCCATTTGAAGGCCGGCCAGAGGCCAGCTCTCATTTCGACAATCTCCTGGCTGGATAGCTCAGTGGTTTAGGCACGGATGCTGCCAAATCTTTGAATCCGAGTCCCGAGTTCAAGTCTTTGGTACAAGGTCTGAATCCAAGACTTTGGTTCTAGGTCCTGCTCCCTAACCAAGTGTGACTTCTAAATGCATGCTTCTGTTTCACCAGTATAAAAAACGGCTCGCTTGCCCAGCCTATTTCTGTTTGGCACCCATATAAGAGGCTTCTGGGCCTCATACAAAGCAGTCGTTAGACCTCCAGCATTCCCCAAAGGCTTCATCTGCAGAGAGAAAGACTGCAGGCTGATTCCTTGATGCCTTTGACTTTCCACCACATCTAAAAACTCTGTTTTGCTAAGATCCTGACTTCCGGAGCAGCGGGCATCACCTCTGGCCTGAGTTTCTGGGCTATTTTTGGCTCTTGTCCGACTTCCAACATTTATATCGTCTTTGCCCGGGCAAGAATTCCAGAGACCTTGAAACTTCGTCTTGTTTATACATTGCTCGGGAACTAATTTGAGTTTCACTCCACCTGGAACTTTGATTTTGAGCCCAAGAGAAAGTTCCTTTCCTATCCAGAACTGAATGAAGCTCATAGTCCACCCATACTGAAGTCCCAGGGCTTCCCTGCCTTTTGTGGCTTTGGGAACCCAGCAAGCTGCCCTTGTTGGAGTCAGGAATATTAATAGTAATCACACGCTGTCATGCTCTACCCGGAGGTTCCCGGTAACACGGATGCTCTTCTTTTCAAAGGCTAAAAAGCTCAGTGCAAGGGAAGGAATATAGCATCACTGCCGTTACAATGGCCATGGCCCCAAAAAGCCACCGGGTAGAAAAGCCATTGGCTGAAAGAAACAGGTTTTGTTATGACCCAAAAACCACCGAGCTGAGCCTGCCAGCAGCCTTCCAAAAAGTGATCCTTTTGGGGGGAAAGGTTGACAGCCTGAACAAAATCCATCTCCTGGCTTCTTTCTAGATGTTCTCCCACTTTCTTGGCAGCAGCAACATAACAACATAACACTGGGTACAGTTTTGCCTCGCTAGACGATGATAATCCGTTCCACTGAAATCGCTGTTTAGCGAAATCATTGTCTAGCGAAAAGCATTTCCCTATTGGAATGCACTGAAACCTGTTTAATGCATTCCCATGGGGAAGAATCATTGTTGTCTAGCGCAGATCGGCCATAGGAAAGCCGCTTTGCGAACCGCCAATCAGCTGTTTAAATAGCAGTCTTGCAAAGCTTAGGTCCCGAAAACACCCGTTTTGCGAGCGCGGAGGGAGCTGTCAAAATCGTCGTCTAGCGAAAATCGGTTTGCGAAGCAGGGACCAAACATTGTCCAGCGAAATTCCCCCATAGGAATCACTGTTTTGTGAATCGCTATAGCGATCGCAAAAAGTCAATGTCTAGCGAAAAAACTGTCATGCGGGGTAGCTGTCTAGCGAGGCACCACTGTAAAGGCAAACATTTACACTGCCCTTTCTAGATCCTGCCAAGACTGGGTTGTTCTCTGGTCTAAGGACTTAGATTAAAAAGACCCACTGGCATCTCCTTCTGGTAAAAAGGAGGGTGCAGAGTTTGAGGGTGGCTGTTTGCCTCTGCACTGGTTTGGTCCCAAAATTTTGTCCCTGGGCTTTTATGGCGGGTGGGAGATGCTTCTCACCCCCCCTGTACCAAATGAATTTGGCTGGTTTTAGATATCATAGAAGTTTGGCAAAGGCTACTCTTGGCTCCTGTGCTTCAGGCAGCAAAATTTATTGGGCCGTGCCGGCTGGCATTTGTTAAGAGGCCTCCAGGCAGAGAGTTGGCCACACAAAAGGCCTCCAGACTGGACTCCATTTATACATTTGCTACCTGGCATTGTTTGAAGGTAAAGCCATTGTAGGAGTCATGATTCTAATTAAAACCCAGGAGAAGCATCCGGCAGCCAAGAGAAAATGCGTACCCTTAAAGTCACAGAGTCAGCCCCACAGTGGATTTGAACCCACCTCCTGCCAGCCTCCAAGTCATTGTATCATGTCATCTCTTCGGTCTTTCTTTCCAAATATACCATTTCCTTCAAGACCTGCCAAAGCAGCTTGGACTGTGCCATGGAATTAATTAACAAGGTGCCGGCTGGATGTCTTTAAAGAAAAAAGAAGAAGAAGCTGGTAAGCTTCTGTTCCTGCCTGCCCCCCCCACCCCCCTTGGTACTCACTAGTTTGGCTTGCTAATCATGCAAACCTTTTTAATTATTTGAAAGCTATTTTGGGTTATTTTCATTCCGTTTCCAATCCATCTCGCTCCAGGAGTGGAGTTTCAGACTTTTATGGGAAGTGGGAAAGTTGAAAAAGGAGGGAACGGAGGAAAGAACACCAGTAAAGTTTAAAGAGGGATTTCAGGATTTATTTAAGATTAAACTGCCACAAAAATTCTATGTATTTGGTGCCGGTGCTGTGGCTCCTTGTGCCCCCCCCACCTGCCCCAGTTATCCCAACAGCTATAATAAGACAATCCATTCTAGGTCAAAGAGTTTCCTCATTGTTTATAAGAAGAGAACATTGAGTCTTTGCCAGAAATAGCTAGATATACTGATTTATTTCATGGATATTCCTTCCAGAGCTTGCAAATTGTAACTTTAGTTACTTATAACTAGTGACTTAATTTAGTAATGAAAGTATAACTAAATTACATTTTGGAAGTCACAGAATGTGTAGGAGCAAAGATACCTGTTTACTTGTTAAAGAGTGGTGACCCGCATTTTTAGAGCCATGTTGATTGTACATTTCCCAGTGTTTCACCTTTGTTCTATTAATCCTAAGCTTTTGCTAAAAGAACTAATAAAGAAGTATCAATAAATGCAACATCAAAGCATTGTAACATCATCATATGCTGTCAAATCGGTTCTGACACAGTGACCCTTTTCAGGTTT